AATAACTAAGACAATAAGGAAATGGAATCTGCCTAGAGGTATGACAGCTGATTAATGGATAATGAAAATATGTATGTACACACAGTGGAATTTAATCCAGCCAGAAAGAAAATAAAATGAAATTATGAAATTTACAGAAAAATGGTGGATCTGAAAAGCATTATGTTAAGCAAGACAACCCAAATTCAGAAAATCAAATACCACAAGTTCTTTCTCATATGCAGATTTTAGTAGCTTTTTATGATGGGTTGTCATAGATCATGAAGTTAGAAAAGGGACAAGGGGGAATTATAAGGTTGTGGGGGAGAAACAGAACACGGGTCACATGAAAGCTGTAGTGGTTAGCCATTCCAGCTTGGTTCTGGAAGTTCCAACCCCCATTGAGACTCTGGCAACTGTCACGCCTACGAGGCGGGGCGAGGGGAGGCGCCTGGGGACCCGAGAGCTGGATGGGCGAGCGCTCGCTCTGGGCGCTCTCTCGGTGCCGGAACGCTGACCAGTGCAGATTGACTGGGCAGAGCTCCGGAGAACACCGCTGGACTGCATTACACCTTCCCCAGACCCTGCGACCTACCCATTATTTAATTTGTGAGTTACGCCATTAAATAAATATCCTTTTAACTACGTGGAGTGGCCAAAATAATTTCTCCAATATCTGGCGCCCAACGTGGGGCACGAACCCACGACCCTGAGATTAAGAGTCTCATTAAAAGGATATTTATTTAATGGCGTAACTCACAAATTAAGTAATGGGTAGGTCGCAGGGTCTGGGGAAGGTGTAATGCAGTCCAGCGGTGTTCTCCGGAGCTCTGCCCAGTCAATCTGCACCGGTCAGCGTTCCGGCACCGAGAGAGCGCCCAGAGCGAGCGCTCGCCCATCCAGCTCTCAGGTCCCCAGGCGCCTCCCCTCGCCCCGCCTCGTAGGCGTGACAGTTGTCAGAGTCTCAATGGGGGTTGAAACTTCCAGAACCAAGCTGGAATGGCTACCCACTACAGAAAGCAGAGGTAACTAATGAAGCTGGAAGGGCATAGGAGGGGTACATGGGCTATGAGAGAAGGGGAGATAAAAAATATGTTTGAAAATGCATCGTGAAACCTAATCCTTTGTATGCTAGTTCAAAGAGTAAACAGAAAAATAAATAAATACAATTTTTGGTTCCCACGAGGCTTCCACTCTACACAAACAACTACAGGCAACTACAGAGTCATGAGAGTGGGAGAAATAGTTTTCCACAGGGGAGAACACACCAGTTGTTTATCCAATACCAAATAGCAAGCCCTGAAAACAAACATACCAGTAACATCATACAGACAGCGAAGGGTGTATTTATGTATTTAGGAATATAAGCATTTAACAATTAGAGAAAATAAAGGCCATGAATTTGGAAGAAAGCAAGGAAGGCTATGTTGGAGTGTTTCTGGGAGGAATGGGAAGAGGGGAGTGATGTGATTATATTATAATCTCAAAAAATAAAAGAAGTAGAAAAAGTAGTTTCCAGGAGGTACTACTCTGTCATGAGTTGGTTTAAATTATTTCTTAAATAACTGTGTCACGAGCTTACTTCACACATTCTGTGCATACAGGTGCTTAAGGAGAAAAACAATGCTGATTCATGCGATGAAGGCGTAGTTCTGAGATGCCTTTGTGCTTCCATGAGCAATCACAGGGACATGAGCAGGAGAGTGTCTGGGTTCTTGTTTGTTTAGCTATAACTTGAAAAAGATACGGAATGTTTTTCTTGGTGTAGCTTCTTTCTTCCTTAAGGCCACTGTCTTCCACTCTGCCCTATCTGCAGCAGAGAACTCCTTCAGTGAGTAAAAAGTGGGATCACTCTGATACCTAAGATTTCCAAGGTAGCGCCATGAAGGCCAAGAAATGTGTTTGAGCTTGTAATAGCTCTTTTCTCAGGTTCCTGCTCTGCCCGCTTTTAACCAAAAGTTCATCTGTAGCCTTCCCAGTAGAACATGGATGACTAGCCACATATGTGGAATTCACATAGTAGCCAATAATCAAACACAGCCGTCAGGCTTCTTCCCAAACATCTAATACCTTTTTACTCTCACTCCATTTTCACAGCATTTGTATAGTCTGCTTTACTTACTTTATTCAAACCTGTATGATGATTTCATATATTTTTAAACCAAGTTTCTTCGTTACTGTTCTATTGCCATGACAAGATACCGCTACCAAGGCAATTTATAGAAGAAGCATTTGATTGGAGGCTTGCTTACAATTTCACAATCATCATGGTAGGGAGCATGGCAGCAGGCAAGCAGGCATGACACTGGAGAGCTAAAAGCTCTCATTGATCTATAACTTGTAGGCAGAGAGCAAATCTGAGTCTCGCATGGACTTTTGAGACCTCAAAGCCCACCCCTAGTAACACATCTTCTTCACCAAGGGCACACCTCCCAACCCTTCATAAACAGTCCACCAACTAGAGACCAAACATTCCAACATATGACCCTATAGAGATCATTCTTAATCAAACTGACATATGCCAATCCTTGGCCTCATAGGCTTGTAGCAAAATCCATTTAGTACAACTTCAAAAGTCCCCACAGTCTTCCACAGTCTGTTCACACTGTTTAAAAGTCCAAAATCTCTTGTGAGACTCTTAGCTGTAATTCTGTATAAAATCGAAGAGCAAATTACATACTTTCAACATAGGAAGACATAGGCATAATGAGGAAATATCAGACCAAAGCAAGGCCAAAATCCAGTAGGAAAAACTCCAAAATTTATACATCTATGCCTGATGTCAAAGAACTTATTAGAAGGTTCTTCTTATCTCCTTACAGCTATGCCAACTACAACACACTTCTCTTTCTTGGGCTGGTTCCATACCCTATCTGTCCCTCTCCATGGCAGGTATCCCATGGCTCTGGCATCTCCAACATCTTAAGGTTTCCAACACATTCCAGGCTTCACCTTCATAACTTCATGCAATGGCCTGTCTAGGCATCCATTCAGGGACTCCCATGCCTCATGCTTAGTCTCTGCATCTTTCCTTAATCATCCTGAGGAAGATTCCACAGATCCTTTCCAGAACCACAAGATCAAAACTGTTCAGTTCTGCTTCCTGCTAGGGCTGGCATCTGGCCATTTATAAAATGTCACTAATGAACCACTTTCATTAACTTCTTCAGATCTGAGGATCTCCATGAGCTCTCTATTGTCACCTTTTATTAGTCCCTTTAGTACTTACCTGGTATGGGTAGTAGACATTGTGTTTTCTCTAGGGATTTGCTCTACAATACTCAAAAACATCTTTTTTTCTTCAAGCCAAGTAAGAGAGACTGGTGCCAAAATCTCTACATGTCATGTGATTCATAGTATAAATGTTGCTGTTTCTAGTAGAGGGGTGTAACTTCTATGGACATTATTGTCAAGCATTTTATTATAATTGTAAGATAACTAGTTAACCTACCATAGAAATCTAAAATTCCTATGACAGTGACAAAGGATGATCACAACCTCAGCTCATATCATCACTAATATTTATTTTGGTTCTACATAACAGTAACACTAAAAAGGCCATGTGAATCCCTACTCCTTTTCAATAGAGAAGTCCTTAATGTAAGCAAATAAAATCCTTCACAATGGTCACAGAGCAGGTCTGCCCTTTGTTCCAAAGAAGACAGTGTATCTTTCCAAGACACAAACTAATCAAGGAAAAGTCTCAAACAAAGTACAGTTAAGGTCTGACAAAACACAATGGGAAGAAATTCAAGAAACCATACAAAATTATACCCTAACAACATCTTGTTTCTGTCCCCCTGCTTCTGGAAAAATTTCCCATGGGTATGCCATACCAATATCTACTTCAATCGGTCAGACCAGGTAAGGCTAGGACCAGATGATACCAAAAACTGCACAGCAAATAGTGTGAGGTCAGCTTACAGTAATGGTTTCAACAAGCTTGAAACCTATCCAGGACTACTTTAGAAAGTCCAATGTCGTTGTTTTTAATGTCTTTTCCACTTGACCTGGGACCAGCAGAATGTATTAGCATATGTATAGGCTCTGCTTTTACTAATGAGGAAGAAGTCAGAAGCAATTTCATCTTCCATAACACTTACCAATGAATTGAGGCTCTAAAGAATTTCATTCAGGGTAAGGTTGGTGTCACTGATAACTTCAGCTCATGCTGAGGCAAGTTTTATATCATTATTTTCTGTTTGGACATTATATACAAAACTGTCTATTGTACAAATAACTATCTATTGAGTGAGCAAGTAAGATGAGACAATTATCTCCTCAGGAGGTTCTCCCCCTGCAGTGGTTTGAATAAGAATGGCCCTCCCAGGCTCATATATTTGAATGCTTAGTCACTAGGGAGTGGAACTCTTTGAATGCATTAGAAAGATTAAAAAGTGTAGTCTTGTTGGAAGAAGTGAGTCACTGGGAGTGAGCTTTAAGGTTTCAAAAGCTCAAGCCAGGACACTCTCTCTCTCTCTCTCTCTCTCTCTCTCTCTCTCTCTCTCTCTTTCTCTGTGTGTGTCTGTCTGCATGTATGTATGTATGTGTGTCTCTCTGTTTCTGTCTTTCTGTGTGTCTCTCTACTGTCTCTGTGCGTCTGTGTATGTCTGTCTGTCTCTGTCTCTTTGTTGTCTCTGTGTGTCTGTGTATGTATGTCTCTGTGTCTTTCTGCTGTCTCTATCTGTCTGTATCTGTCTCTGTATATGTCTGTCTGTCTGTCTCTCTCTCATGGTCATGTTGTCTCTTCATAGCTATAAAACAGTGACTAAGACAACTCCTAAATATTCATAAAGAACCTCTTTGGGCACGTGATTAATCACATGGTATTTCCCTAAGATTTTAAAGGTCTTAAAATCACCAGGAAGATGCATGCCACAAAATTTTGGGAATCAGAAAAATGAATGGAAGTATGGCTTTCTGACAAGAAGGAATCCTGGGAGATTACACACTCCAGAAAAGAGCTCCCGGGAAAGGTCTACAACCATCAAGGCCTACAGAGTAAAACCACCATCAGTATGGTGGGGAAATGGGCAATGCCTCCAGCACGGCATCTCAGTTATGTGGCCTATTTCTATTCTTCAGGTGAGTGGGAACAATTATTTTTGATTGAATGTCCAGAGATAGTCAGTCTGGTCTTTCATGTGTATTCACACCACATTCTGAGTGACATTCTTTTGCCCCATAGAATCACTGAAAACAGATGAAGCAGGCAGGAAGAGGGGTAAAAGCCATCCTCTGCTGCTTCTGATAGATTGTCAGCAAGCTTATGAAAGAAAACTTTGTAAAGTAAGTGATCAAACTCCGGTAATAAGTGTCTGATCAGGACATTGCCTATCAGAAGTCAAAGTCATTAGGTCATAGCCAGCACTTAGTTAAATTTAAAAGACATCATTTGGGAGATGCAAGACTGGAGTTTTCCTTCTTCTTAGAAATGGCCAAAGAGCCAGGTGGTAGTGGTGCACACCTTTAATCCCAGCACTCGGGAGGCAGAAGCAGGGGGATCTCTGTGAGTTCAAGGCCAGCCTGAACTATAGAGTGAGTCCCAGGATAGGCTCCAAAACTACACAAAGAAACCCTGTCTTGAAAAACAAAACAAACAAAGCAAAACAAACAAACAAAAAAACAGAAAGAAATGTCCAAAGATCATGTCTGAGAATAGAGATGCCATCCCTATTTCCTGGCATCCCTAAGGCCCAAAGGCACCACACACACACACACAGCAACATAACTGCTGTTTTCATCCCAGTGCTGTAAGATGTCACCTGTCTCCCACACATACTCAGAAGTTTTGTCTGGTAAGATCAAATGATAAAGACAGAAAGAAGTTTTCCATAAATTTAGCAGACACCCACTATGCCTTCCATGTTTGACCCATATGGGGTTCCCTAGAGGACCCTGAAAGCATTGTATTGAAGTCTTTGACCTTATCAATCAATCAGGATATCCCAGGACTAAGAGAAAATTAAATTTGGATCTTTAAAATTCCCTTTTGGTTACAGTATCATTCAAAGATGTGTTATATAGGTTAGATTGGGGTTGCCATTAAGGAAAAGAAATACCATCACACCTAAAATTAGAGAAGAATCCAAAGTTTTCTAGAATGCCATATAACTTTTTTTTTTATTATTATCATAATGGTATGCCTTGGGTATCTGAGAGATGGACTCTCTCTGGTAAGAGTTATGAAGTAACCAAGCTCAACTACTTACAAGGGCATGAAACTAGAGAGAGAGGCAGATCAAAATCTTCCTGAGCCAATCTTGAGGAGGCCATTTCAGCCTCATTAAAGCAGACAGGCATAGATTGTAGAAATGTGGACCGTCCATCAATGCCTGAACTTGGAGCCTCTTGAGTGTTTATTGCAATGAAATCTATAGAATTGTGCCACATTTCCAGCCTGAAAATGGCCTGAAAACTTGAAAACTTGACATGATTAGCTTCCCCGGCAAGAATGGTATAGCCACAGATCAAACTGGTGTCAGCAACAGAATCTTTTGTGCGTAGTCTGAGATAGTTGACATCAGCTGGGTCTTAGCATCTATCCCTGTACTGAAAGTTCATGAGCAACACAGTCTTAACAGAAAGCACTGACTGTAGGCACCCACATACAAAGCATGCAGGGTTCAGCAAGCAGGGCTTTCTATCCTTTCCGAAGACTGTATAAATCTTCTCCAAAGAGTATGCTTAGTAGGTAGGTCTCTAGTTATTCAAATAGCAGAGAAAACAGCCAGACTGCTTGGAAACAGCTTAAAAGCAGCGAATTCACAGAGTATTTAATGATGGCGGCAGGGGGCAAAAGTGTGAGAACAGCTTTGTATACAGCCCACCTGATGTGGAGGGAGAGGGCATCATTAGGCATGATCTGCACTCATCGCCAAGCCAAGCTATGCAGTGAGCTCTTGCGTCTTTGCAGCAGGTAGCAGGTTGCAGGGTGAAGTTCCTCCCTGTGGAAGAGCAGACATTTTTGCTGGTAAACAGAGCTCTGGCTGAAGTCAGGCCTGTTACACTCACGGATGCCATTTCCAGTGGAAAGGAGTCTTTGCTGTCCCTTTCACCTTGTCCACGAGTGTAAACTGAGCTCTGAGACAAAAAATGTCCATCTGTCACTACAAAATGTTCTCCACTGAAAATTTTACTTTCCACCGGAGCTCATTAGCTAGTTCGCAGCTGTTTCCCTTAAAGGAAACAATGTGTCCAGATTTCAAAGGGTGTGCCCAAGTAGAAGCTAGCTCCTTTTGCCAAAAAGCTTCCATCGCCCAAATTCCAAGCCATGGATTCTGTGCAGTATTTAAAATAAAGGGGTCCCCAACGTAGGAATATCTGTTTATGTGCAGTTTTTCCTGTTGAGGATTCTATCTAACATTTATAGAACAGAGAAGTAAAACATCAAGTTTTATTGTGCATTTACACATTTCTAGGGCTGACCATTTGAAATTGGATGATGAATCAAGGGGCTTATCTCTGGGAAAGTCTAATTCTCTCTTTCTCAGCAGCTGTTAAGCTTGTTCATCTAGAGATTGGGTCCTGCAAAGGCTTTTCTTGTTTTTGACTTGACTATGTGCAGAAATAACTAAAATCCAAGCAGCTGGGTACACCTATGAGGGATTTTTTTTTTTTCATAATTGAATCATTTGAAATGGGGAGAGCCCATTTTAATCTGAATCTTTTGAGGTGGGATGATCCACTTTTAATGTTGGCTGCACCTTGAACTGGAAGCCTATATAAAGGACATGGAAGATGGAAGCTTGCTCTCTTTGTCTGCTTGCTCTCACTCTCACTGGACTTCCTTCACTGGTATTAGAAGCCTTCTTCTTCAGAATTCCAGTATATACTGAAGAAGACCCAAGACAGCCCACCTCATGGACTGAATGACTACTGGGTTCTTGTACCTTCAGTTAGTAGACAGCCATTGTTGGGCTAGCTGGACCAAGCCTATAAACCATTCTAACAAATACCATATATATCTCTCTATGACCAAAACAGACCCCTTGAGATCCACCCCCTTCTATGATGAGGTGTCAACTGTTGTTAGAATTGTTCAAGTCTTGATTTGGGAGTCATCTTGTTGAGAGTTCATTGGTGTAGCTTCCTGTTGTAGCTAGCAGGCACCATGCTATGGCAGGCTTCCTGGTTCTCTGGCTCTTACAATAACCATCTTTTCCCTTTTTGTCTTTCTTATTTTATTTTCTCTCTGGGGTTTTCCTCAAGTTTTGTTTTAAAATATATTTGTCACACTGAGGCTTGAGACTAGGGCCTAACTTGTGCTAGACCTGTGCTATATCCCCTCTCTTGGATGTTCAAGACATAGCTTTGCTATATAGCCCAATCTATCCTTCTACCTCAACATCCTGAGTTCTAGGATTACAGAAATGTGAGCAAAATAGTGGCTCCGGATGTAGCTCAGTAGGTAAAGCTCCTGCCTGTCATGAATGAATCCATAGGTTCTATGGTGGTTTGAATAACATGCCCCCATAGGTTCATAGATTTTAATGTTTACTTGTCAAGGAGTGGCATCACTTAAGAAAGAATAAGAGGTGTGGCATTGTTGGAGGATCTGTGTCACTGGGGATGGGCTTTGAAGTTTCAGAAGTCCATACCATGCCTAGAGTCTCTTTCTTCCTGCTGCCTCTGGATCCAGATGTAGAACTCTCAGCTACTCCTCCAGCACCATGTCTACCTGCATGCTGTCATGCCCCTTGCAGTGATGACAATGGACTTAACACTCTGAAACTATAAGCAAGCTCCGATTAAATGCTTTCCTTTATAAGAGTAGCCAAGGTCATGGTTTCTCTTCACAGGAATAGAACACTAAGACTGGTTCAATCCATAGCACTGCATAAAGCCAGACATTGAAGGTTTAAATTTTAGTGTAAAAGTTGAAATTGTGAAGAAAATATGTGTTTTTTTTTCACATTCAAAAATAGATGCAATTGGTATCTATGTAATTAAACTTGTTTCATTTTTAAAGACAGAAAGATAAATATGCTGATATTTATATAAGCATTTATAGGTAAAATACCATGTGTGTATTTGAGCACACATAGGCTCACAGAGCCCCAGGCACCACGTAGCTGATACACATCCCTGCCAGCCCAGTGATAAGACAGAATTTGGGTGCCACAGACTAAGAACTCCAGACACCACATAAAGTCCCTGAAAGGTAGAGTATAGATCAGAGCAGGGTCACATTAGAAGGGAAAGAACCACTAACCAAAAGGACATACAGCTTCGATTTGGCTACCATACCAGCCTGCCAGTTTTCTTTCCTATCTGAGAAAACTAATGTAAAAGACAACCCCAGAAGAGAGAGAAGCCATGGTACTGCACTGAAAGAAGATGTTTGGAACAACTCCCACAGAAAGAAGGAAGGTTGTTTGAAATTTAAAAATTAAATAGATAAAAACTCAGCCAATAGACTCTAACTCCAGATGTACAAGTCCCAATACATAAGCAAAAGTGACATGAAAATAACAAGACAATATTTAACTTCTTAGAATTACTGATTCCACAGTTAGGACTCCCAATGAAAGCAACTCAGAAAACCTTCCAAAGTGTTCAAAAGAACAAATATAAATATCTCAAACAGCATGAATGTATGCCAGGAGGAAAAAAACAGTCCAATGAAATAAGGAAGTCAATTCAAGATAGGAAAATAGAATTCAAGAGATAGAAATACTGAAGAAAAGCCAAAATAGATATGAAAGATTCGGTAATAAGCCATTCAAATAAAAACTAAGAAGAAATGCCTTTTCAATAGGATGAAGTCTGTGGAAAACAGAGTATCTAAGGACTCAAGACTATGTAGAAAAGGTAGAACACCCAGTCAAAGGCAATGATAACTTTTTTAATTGAATTGGACATTTTTGAGCTTTGGGATACAGTGAAAAGAATAATTCTGTGAATTGTGGATATAGAAGGAGATGAAGAGGAATCTCACATCAAAAACCACAGAAAATATTTTCAATGAAATCATAGAAGAAAATTTCCGAAATCTAGGGAAGGACTCCTAGTCCAGAACACACACACACACAAAGACACAGACAGAAATTAACTCCCCATATCATATTATGTTTTAAATACTA